GGTTCTCCACACTATACTACCGGCAGCCCTGATGAAACCGTGCTACCGGTCCCCCGAATTTCTTGACGTCGGAGGGAGTTGTGGTTTAAAAGAATGAGCCTTCAAAAAAAAATAAAAAAAATCATTATTGACCCGCCGACCACATTGTGCGACGTTAGACGACCAGTCCCCCCGCCGTAAAAAACCTCGGGGGTACCGGTAGCGGCGTTTAACGACGAGTACCGGTAGTACAGAACGGAAAACCGGACGGGCCTTGAAAATTGAATTTGTGAAAAAAAAACGAATCGGCGCGGCGCTTATGTCACGGTCAAAATGATTTTTTTTAATTTTTTCTGATATATTTCCTTGAAAGATCACGACTTAGTCTACGGACCCACAAATTTTCAGGCGATTTGATGAATTCTTCTGAGCTACAAAAATCGTCAAAGTTACCGCTTGCAAATGGCGGGATTGGACTGGGCGGGCCACAAAAATTGACTTCGCAAAAAAAAACGATTCGGCGCGGCGCTTATTTCACGGTCAAAATGATTTTTTAGATTTTTTCTGATATTTTTCTTTGAAAGATCACCACTTAATATTCTTCTGAGCTACAAAAATCGCCAAAGTTACCGCTTGCAAATGGCGGGATTGGAACCGTCGGTGGCGAACGGTCGCCGCCCCTCTGTAGAACCCGGCCCTAACTCACAGGGATTGGGGGGTTTCAGCAGTTGGGGGACTGGTGGTCTTAGCTTTCGACACACAGGCACATCCTGACGTGCCAGCAGCCTGATGCAGATACAGTTCAAACAAAAGCAGTCCCCTAAAACATACAGGGACCCAGTCCGCCTCAATGGTTATCTCAATGAGCAATTCAGTATTTCAAAATCTATACGTGGGTTCAAACCCCAACCTGACCATTGCAACCGAACTTCGAATACTTACTAATATATTATATAGTGTGTGTGTGTGTGTATGTGTGTGGGTGGGTGGGTGCGTGTGTGGGTGTGTGGGTGCGGGCGGGCGGGCATGTGCATACCCTTTCTGGTAGATTAGCACATAATTCGGATATGGAATCAATTGGCCACCAAAGGTTAGCATCAAACCCATGATATCTTTTGATCAACCTCTTTTTCTCGAGACAATAAGCCTGAACCTCGATACTGAGCAGGGAAAGCACTTCTGCACACAACTCAGAAAAAGGAGAGAACACACAGTCAGCCGCGTTAGTGAGCTAGCGAAACGAATTCTTGTGTTCCTTAAAAATGCACATTAGATATGACAGTTTCATAGCCCCAGTGAAAAGAGTTGGACAAAACTCAGACATGCATCGACAAACATCCTGCAGGATCTGGTCAGGGGACTCCTTTCTCTGGAGAAAATCAGGCCCTGTCAACCTTTGGAGTACAAACTTCCTGATCAGATTCTTACAGACGATTGTCGGAGTGTGCGGCGCCTTATCTGTTCCACAAATGAAGAATTTGTTCGACAGAAAGCGAGCCTCATGCCTCACATGATAATCGTTCATTATTGGCAGAGGAACATTTTTTTTTTTCTTGATATATCCGCGAAAACCTTTTCTGGCAGCTGCCAGGACGGTGGACTCCACCGTGTCTGCCTGCTGGTCTAGGAGATTCGAAATGCCCTCAACCTCTTTTCTCAAACAAGCCCATGCAGCAGAGATCTGCGCGAGGGCCTTTTTGACATCGAGGGGTTGAACCGGGATATGTTTCAGCCCCGCTTTAAGCAGCGCCCTCATCGACGGTGATGATAATATCCTTGAGTCAAGAGTTAGTACATATGACTGGCCCCATTCCGGATCGTCTACCATATCCTTGGACTCTGCTAGGTGAAACGGTCGGAACCTGGTTGTCACACAGGGGCATCGGTCTGCCCTAGTAGCGTCCTGCCAGGACGAAAGATCAAAGTTTCTGAAGGCCTCAACAGGTCTATACAGCTGGGCAGAGATGCGCTCTTCGTATTTCCAACCGAAGACCACGGTCTCAAGCGAACCGAGCGCATCCGGGGCTACCAGAGCAATTGAATCCTCAAAGAGCCTCCTGAACTTGATTCCCTCAAACAGCCTACTCGTGTATAATATATGCACGAACACAGGTCTCAGATTCGTGGCCACAGGCGTCTTGATCCACTTTTTTCTTCCAGCAGGAGTGAGGCCCATATACCCCCGTATTCCCTATAAGCCAACCACAAACAACAAATTACAATTTACACGGCATTACCAGCACGAGCATGATGATCTTCCCATTATATCAAAAACCGAAAAAAGTAAAAAAAGAAAAAAGGAGAAAAAAGAATCTATCAAACAAATGAAGGAACACAAAGCCCGAAGACCGATCTAATCAATCTGAGAAAACAGAAGAGGGTAGACATTCAAGAATGTTGCGAAGGCACATCCCCCCGGGAAACCATGTAAATTTCATCGTTCTATTACGGATCGTTAACCGCGCACGACTCGTTCGGCTGATTCCCCGTTGAGTGGCGCCTACGTGCGGAGGCCTCCGGGAGTGCAGATGAGCAGGCCCCATTGATGACGCGAGAGGAGTTGCGCGGTTCCGGATGGGTGGTTTTCTCGGAGGCTGCCGAATCCTGTGATCCCAGAACCACCTCCCTCTGCACAACCGCGAATCGGAGCGAATGTTGACCTCGGCCATCTAGCGACATCCTCTTGTTTGGTTGTTGGTCTCCACCCAGCTGTTGGGGAGCCTTTCTGGAAAGCTTTTGCGGCAACGCGTGCTTGGTCAGGATCCGCGGAAAGGGGCTAGCCATCAGATACCTGTTCAGCAGCTGATCCGGAGCGCAAGCTGGATTGCGCATGAGAGCTTGGGAAGCGAGCATCATGAAGTGGCGGATGTAGATGAAGGTGATGTTAGCAAGCATTAAGGGCCGCCATGTGCCCCGACAATGTCGTAAGACCGTGACAAACCTCGCATTTCCCGACTTCGCTGAGGGATAAATGACCTCCGGGTAGGCAAACAGGTACCAGAGGACCTGGTCGAACCATAGCAGTCCAGCGTCGCACTTTCGAGAGTTCTGGTAACCGCATTTGCACTTCAAATATGGCCTGCCGATGTTCCAAAATTTCTTCAAAGCATTAAGATCCCTTGCACAGCTGAGCGGACCAGTTTTCTCCATGACCATCGGCTTCTGATATTCGCACTTCTCCGGATCTAGCTCCCGTAGAGCAGGAAAGGACAGATGGCCACCCTTATGGGGCGACTTCTTCTTCCCTCCATACACGAGCAGGCCTGTTAGCGCATTGTTGTAACATTCCTCCAGATCTTCCTTCTTTGCTCCAGCCAAGAACTTTTACGCGTTGATGCCAATCGGAGCCAAGTGATTGAAAAACTCGAGCCTCCATACCCTGTGTTGGAAAGAACAAGCGACATCCTCGATGCAGTGCGAGCTCGCCAAGGGGAGGAATGCGTGCCTCTCATAATCCCTTGCCGCCGGTCTCTTGTGCCCCTTCGTGAGATCAGCACCCGGAGCAGTTAGGTCGCGACCTCCGTTCTCTCGTCCTCGTTCAGATTGAACACATCCAGCATAGAAGCCCCTCCATCGGTCTCCACCGCATTATAACGCGCCAAGAACCAATCCAGGTGGGCTGAAGGTAGGCCCCATGACTTCAACCACACCTTCTCAGCTTCCGACGTCTTTATCTCGATTGTCTGATCCTCCTCCATATCTTTAGCTGCCACCTTCTCTACATTCGCCGCAAATCTCTCGATCAACCCCGTTAAGGCTTCCCTATCATTCTCGAACGTCCAGGCCAACTCTGCGCACTCATTATACTTCATCACCTTCGTGATGTGGGGGAACTTACCCGCTCTTACCGACTTCCCTATCTCCTCTAAGATGTACGTGTTCAATGTTGAGATCGGCGCCTTGGTTGGTTTAGACGGGGCCGGGGGATTCTGAAGCCAATCATACTTGGACAAGGTGTTGTCCAACCAAGCGTCAGGGGTTAGATCCAGGTGACTAGTCTCGGAATTTTCCTCCGGCATTGAAGAGGGGGTCTGCACTCAAAAAAAACATACGCAGGGAGGCCCAATGGGCCCATAGCACCCGGAGAAAGAAAGAAAGAAATAAAAAAAGAAAAAAAAAACAACGGGGGGATGGGGTAACATGGGGTTTTGAAAAAAACATGGAATAAATGCGCAGCCATACGCAGGTCTTTTCCAAGAATAGCCACATATCACAGAAACCACGAAATATTTCGGGGTGAGTGAGTAGGAACCACGGTATGCAAAGCTTCTCATCACGCTTCGTTTTCTCAAAACAAATAAGGATCAAACCAGAGGGGGAAGAGCCACTAATGTGATGGATGGCAGGGAGGTCAGGGTGTTAGGGGATCAACCTCAACACAGCAGCCAGGAGAACAAACTCCTTTGAGTGATAGAATCAACTTAGTAAGCAAAGCAAACTGCGCTTTGGCTCCGTGAACCACGACCTGACGTGCCATCCGCTTTTACGCTCTTCGCTACCCAGATGGATAACAAAAAACCCTCATTTCTTGGAAACAATCCGTAAATCCGCCTTCATGCTCATTGTTACCCAGAGGGATGACAAACACCCCTTATTTTTGAAAACAATCCGTAATTCCGCATTCAAGGCTGCAAAAACCTGTCGTATTTCAGATGCGTCATCACTCCTTTTGGCCAGACAAATTCAGAGTAACCTAATAATGCAAATAAGACCTAGATATACATTAAAAAAATAATAATCAGGGGGAGGAGTCGCTTCTGCGTTGGATGGAGGGATCAGGGCGACGGGAATCCACCCCCGCGCGGCTACCAGGAGGACAATCCTCCTTGAGTTAAAAAACACAGAGAACGAACCAAAAAAAATCACCTCCGCCCTATCGAGAAAAACGGCCCGAACCGCCATCCATAAGAATACTCATCGCATCCCTTTAACAGAGCATAACCTGGGTATTATAACACATCTTTTACCATGAATTATAACACATATTTTACCATGAATTTTTAGAGGAACCAATGGAGTTATTCTTACTCCGTTCATCAAACGCTCGCAAGGATAATCAAGTATACCACATATGTGATACTCAAGCATGGGAAAATAAAGCCGGGGAGTGAAAACGCTTCGCAATTGATAGCAACAAAAGTACAAAACCAGGGAAAAGGGGATTCGACCCTGATTCAGCGCCTAGGGGAAATCCCCTGTGTGTGTTGTACTGTATGCATAGCACAATATGCTATGAACTCCGTAATAAGAACGGCCTGGTATGCTATCAAACAAAATTCAATTCACTGCAACCCGGAAAACGTCACTTCATCATGCATTGTATGAGACGACTTCATACACATGTCTCTTTACCATATCCATGAGCAAGGAATAAGAGAAAGGATTAAAAAAAAAGGAACAAACGCAGAAAAAAACGAAGGAAAAAAGGAGGGGATTCTTTTTTTTAGAAAAACGAAAGCAATCCAAACACGGTAGCCATGAAACGATGTATAGGCACCCCACAACACTTCCTTTCCAAAAACTTGCAGGAAAAATATACACAGGTCCCACCAGAACCACTCCGACGACAGCGGAGACGATGCGCAGTATCACGGCTGACACAATTGCGGAGACGATTGCGTTCGCTCGACAACTTCCTACAACAAAAAATAACAATCATCCTACCCATAGCTCTTGAATCCCCCGTCTTCCATCATCCTAGCAACGAATTGCGCCACCACTCTCAGCAGCTCACCAACCAAAGCACCGTTATTTGCCGCGCAGATCCCAAAGCAGGGTCGAAGATTTGCGGACGTCGAGCACCCCACAATGCTTGGTCTCCCAACGTCAAGAAAAATCAGAAATGCAAAGAAGCCAATGCAAATCGCGACGCACGAGACCATCATGCACAGTGCTACCTCCGACTCCATACGGCCTGTCTGTAGAAATGAGGCAGACCACGAAGCAATGGTCCGCAGGAAACATGCAAGGACGGAGGCAAAGAAGAGTTGGGACGACGAGAGAATCCAGCTTGCAACAACCAGCAGATGCGGAGGAACTGGACTCATGACGCGCAAGCAGCCCAGAGTACTGTCAACCAGAAAGGAGTACCAATCATAGTCGATTGGCGAATCACTAATTGGTTGAGAACAAAGAAGAACCCATTGACTAACCCTCGAGAGCTCATTATCCCGAATATAAACAGCAAGTGCAGCCTCCCCCTTATCAGCCTCCGACCCATCTCTCATCCACGTCGTTCCGATCGCCAATGATTGCCCAGACCTCGGCCTGATACCACCTTATCGTCTAATCCTACGTATGCAGTACCTTCACCAAGGCGCTTGGCGTTCCTTCACCCGAACATCGGTCACTTCTCGTAACTGAACCGCCCCGCCCTCAAAAGGCATGTCGCCCAAACACCTCGAGGCACAACCCCCTCACCTTCCGCCTATTATATCATAAGCTGAACAACAACCAACGTCCGTATCTGAGGCGCCATCTCCAACCTCCATTTAATCGGCATCACAATGACCGCGTTTTAATCAACAGGCAGGTCTGATCACGAGAATCGAAGAGCAACAAAGTCGATGTGCGTGGAGTGCCAGCAGAGACAGAGGAGCAACTGATTACTCCACTCGAGGGCCACCTGGCGTCTCTGCCCAGAGACAGACACTCTCGTACAACCAGGGGACTGCAGAGGAGGTGGCGACTCCCTAAAGCGTTTTTCACTGCCGCGCCACACGGCAAATCGTCATAGGGTACCTGCAAACAACATCAATGAAGCCACACACAGATCATACCACAGAGAAGGAGACGGAGGGATGGAACAATACCACTTCTTCATTTGGTTCCGGCAAGCCCTCCAAGCCGAAAGGCAATTCCACATCCTCCATGGCGCTGCGTGTACTCCTTGAGAATGTCCAGCCTCGAGTAGGTGCTTCAGCCTGCTGCCTGTGCGGCGCGTAACCCCCGTAACATCAACGAAGGAAAAAAAAACGAACCCGGCCAGCTCTGCCGAACGCATGGCAATAGTCCGCGTCTCCACAGGCAGAGCGAACGAGAAGGAGTGCTACGTCAATGTCTATTCATATAGTACCCCTACGCTTTCTTTCGAAGGCCGAGCTGAAGCTTTTTTCTGACGTGGATTAGGCGGCACACTTCTGACGGGTAGATAGCAGTCATCAACACGCATGGGCCCGCTGTTATTTTAGTGAGACCGTTCGGTGGGGAGTACTATTGCACTCCAAGCAAAACGAACCGGACGGCCCCTAGCTTCTCCACTTTTCTTTCCGGACCTCGAGGACCCTGTAGTCCACCTTTATTGGACCCCCCAGGGGGCGCAAAGTCCAGAACGTCACACAGCTGGAACCGCCCCTGTAGCCGCCTAGGTCGCTCGAGAACAAAATCAAGAAAAAAAACATAAAAAGAAAGTTTTTGAAAGAATGAAGAATGAACAAGTGAATGTGTGTGTGTGTGTGTGTGTGTGTGTGTGTGTGTGTGTGTGTGTGTGTGCGGTCGGGCGTGTGTTTGGCCTCCAAACTTTTTTGTATTTTCCCGCTTCGTCTTCCGCCGCGTCCGGACAACCATGCCCGCTTCGTCTTTTCCGCGAAAAGAAAAGCGACTGCCAAACGGAAAAAAAAAAGAAACAAAAAGAAAAGCGAGTGAAAAACGAAATAAAAAGAAATGAAAAGTCTTTTCCACGAAAAAAAAAGTGACTGACAAATGGAAAGAAAAAGAAACCAAAAGAAAAGCGAGTGAAAAACGAAATAAAAAGAAAAGAAAAAAGGAAAACGACGCGTTCTTGCTATCCGACGGTGGGCGCTTCGAGATGTTCCCTCTTATCGACGCCTGCCGCCGCACGACCTTGTGGGCGCGCTCTTTCGTTCTTTGGAGCACTGTGAACAATTCGGTACGCGCACCGCTCTGCACACTCGATCGCCTTCATCCCCCGGCCCGCATCAAAAGTTGAACCCGATTCCGGCGTGCAGCGGACCACCGGCCTCCCCCCGCGGCCAATGCTCCTTAAGGGTTAGGATAACAATAACGACAACAATATTGACGTAACGAATGTATACAAACTATTATTCCAGTCTAATACAATTACGGCAGGCGGCAAAAGATCGACAGTGTAAGTATATACTTTCTCATCGTTCTCTCTCTCTTTCCTCTTCAATCCTATTCTCTCTCTTCTCCCTTCATCCTCATTTTCTCTTATTCTCTCCTTTCCCTCTTTCTGTGCTTGTTTTAATCCCCTTCTAACTGTCGCTCATGCTTACTTATCAAACGTGGTTGCTAGTCCGTGGAATCTGAGCGAGAGCGCTGTACAGAAATCCAGAAAGCATTTCCACACTGTAAACCTGATAGTCGTGTATCAAACAATAAGTAGAGTCAGATAAGAACATAACAATGAACCCTGATGTAGTGTCATGCACTCTCTTTCTCCAATCTCAACAATGAATACAATGTCCCGCTTTTGATATGACGCCCAACCTATATCTGATACCTATACTAGATGAGACTTCAATGCATAACTAGAGTCACTTCACAACTGAAGAAAGATATCGATGCTCAAGCAGACTGCCGCCAGACCAGGTACGTGTCTCTACATCATCAAACTCACTTCTCTCTCTCTTTCTCTCTTCCTCTCTTTCTCGGATAGTGATACAGTTGAAACGGGTTTCACTTTTACGGTAGCAAACACAGTTCCCAGGCTCGATCCCAGGTCTCGCCCTTATCCATATACCGTATTAGTTAACTCGTGTGAGCTTGAACTGCAGGTCTGTAGGCAAGTGGTCAAGTGGGCAGTCTTACCTAGTCCAGTCAGCGGTACCCAGTCCCGTTGTCGACATAGTCTAGTCAGTAGTGCAAAGTGGAACTTCACACCCCCTGGGCTCGAGTGGCATCGATGAACCAAGCCAAAACCAAGTATAAATAAAGAAGCAGCGGAGAGCTACGGAGGTCTGCCGGTTGCCCGAAGATAAAGTGGGTTGTGTCAAAGATTAGCAGTTAGTAGCGGGTAGGGTCAGTGCTCGTAGGTCCACGTGTGTGCGTCTGTAAAAAGCCAGACGAATCAGTCTGACGCAGTCACACTTTCCGGGGTCGTATAGCGAATATGACAACACACACATAGCCTGTGCACACACAGACACAGTCTATTCTCACAAACATACACAGTCTGTCGACACACAGACAGTCTGTTCACATGCAGACACGGTCTGCACACACACAGACAACCTATTCTCACTCTGACAGTTTGTTAATATGCAGACACGGTCTGCATACACACAGAGAGTCAGTCTTCACACAGATAGTCTGTTCGCACACAGACACGGTCGGCACACGCACAGACAGTCTGTCGAGGTGTGACAAAACAGTCTATCTGCCAATCTGTTTGTATGTCTGTTTCTGTCTATGTCGGTCCTTGTCTTGTCTGTGCTTGGTTTATCAGGTCTATCTGTTCATGTTTGCCTGTCTCCATCTGTCTTTGTCTGTTCCGTCCGACAGTATGTCTGTCCGTATCCGTGTCTGCGTCAGGCTGTTTCCAAGAATGCCTGTCTGTGTCCATGTGTCTGTGCGTTTGTTTGTCCATTAGTCTGTGTTCATCTGTTTGTCTGTTTATATTGCTTGTCTGTCTGTTTCTGTGTCGTCGGTTTATCTGTTCGTCTGTCTGTCGTTGTCTGCCTATCTGTCTATGTTTGTTTGTTATGTGTGATTATTTCTGTTTGTCTGAAACGGTATTCACCTATTCGCAGTAGCGAATGCAGATCCCAGGGTTCGATCCCTAAACTTACTTTACCTGTGTAGAGTATGTGTGTTGACCCCGAGAGTAGAACCCGTGACCTGTGTATTTGTAACAGTAGGTAGACTGTCGTAGGATCCATAGGTCGTAGCTGCTACAGTCCAGAATGGTCAAGGTCGTAGCTGCTACAGTGTCCGAAAGGCCAAGTCCACAGCCTTCCGGAAGGTCCGGAAGTGGCCTTTTGAAATGTCTCACGTTTAGTCAGAGGCAAGTGGGCAAGTGGGCAAGTGGTGAGCCTTTAGTTAGAGGAAAATGGGCAAGTGGTGAGCCAACTGCATTACGTCGGCAGTGCGACTGCATCGAGTTGGCAGTGCAAACCCATGCAGTCAGCGGCACTGGTCCTAGTCAGTCAGAATCCAGTCAAGCAAGTACTGAGTGGGACAGTGTGCACCAAGGGCCTGGGAAAGGGGCAGACCAACGAGTTACAAAAGTATAAATCAACAGGCAGTGCCCAACCATTCATTCATTCGCTGCGTAAGCCACGTGGAATCGTTGCTACAACGTCTTGTGCGAAGGTGGTCTGAAGACAAAGTGGGCTGAAAAGAGACAACGGAGTCATAGTTAGAAGTACAGCGGCCATGGCCGCTGTAGTGTTAGAGGTTAGTGAGCGTGTACGAGTGAGTGTGCGTGGGTGTATTCAGGGTGGTGCAGAATTGAATGCGGGTGAACGGTGGTGTTGAGCACAGTGTTGAGGGTCGTGTTGTATAGGCGCTGATGCGCCATAGTCTGTTGAAGCGAGTTTACATCTGAATTGTGTTCTTGGTTGCCATATCTCTGCGCTTTGAGTGGGCTCTTGTCGCCTGTCTGTTGTGCCACTTGTCTACATGCATGTGGAGTGAATGAAAGCTAGGCTGGTTGCAAAATAATAATAATAATAATAATAATAATAATAACAACAACAATAATGATAATAACAGTACTAATAATAATAACAATAATAATAATAGTAATAACAACAATAATAATGATAATAGTCCTAAATTATCCTAATAATAATAATAATAGTAATAATAATAATAATAATAATAATAATAACAATAATTCCAATCAATCAATGATAATAATAATAAAAGAAATAATAAAATTAAATCACACACAATGCAAGGAAAATGAGCGATAGCGAACTTCAGAAATCAAACAACACCATATACATGAGACCAGATAGTTGTAACTTTGAACCAATAGCAGAATTGCATCACGAGTTCCATCAAATAAGAGCACAGCAAAGGCTCATACTTGACAATGCTGTACGAGTTTCGTCATCATCAACAAAGAACCAATGTCGACATTTCATTCGGCGCTCAACGCCCAGACTACAATCGACAGATCTTATCTGTCCTTTCTACAATGTCGTTGTCGAGTGAATCGGTCCAGCACCGCTCGAGGCAGCGCGGGACCCTCCCGRCCGCGTCACGCAGGAGTTGGTTTAAATCCTTCTTCGAGAATGTACTTGGAGCTTCCGCAAGCCGCTCCGGCCGAGTGCGCCAGCCATACCTCCCGCGAGCGCCTACGACAGGATACGGCCTACGCGAGGCACGACTTACCTCCACCTTACAGGAGTTGTCACCTCCCTTCGGTGGGCGTATCCCCGCCGAGCTACCGGTCCACAATACGAAAGTTGATCAGTTGCAATCGTAGAGGTGGACCAGTCGATGGCGTTTCTCGTTCGTTTTAGCATAGGGGGTATGCGCGGTAATACGCCTCTATCGGACCCGCACGCGAACCATCAACTTGGGGTGCTGAAGTCCCAAGCGCGGCCCGTCGTCGGTTGACTAGGACATATCCCACACACCACGCACACACCACTCTACGAACACGAAAATAAAACACACACTCACACATCAATCAACGCGACAACACTCCTAGTCCCTTAGTAACCATCTCATAACTTTCCAACGCAAAAATCGGATAGGCGTCGCGCGCGGGACTTTAGTATAAAACCGCGCGGACGCAATGCTAAACT